TTGGGCCTCTTAAGATCTAACTTTTCCAACGTATTCATGTCTCCAGCGCTACATGTAAATGAATATGAGCATGTCAGCTGGAGTTACTCAAGCTAAAGCAGACTTCTCTCAATGTAATGACACCTTTTTGGAAATTTAAAACCCTACCCTTTATCTATGACATACCTGTATGTTCTTAATGTCGCGAACTAGTTTGGTAGACTTAGGTCAAATACTTTAAAACTGGATTTTGTTCCCTTATAGGAACTGGGCCCGTAGATATACGATCGCCAGAAACTGTTCAAAAATTACAAAAAAGTGTCATTATATTGAGAGAAGTCTGCTTTAGTTGGCAATGTCATGGAAAGATTCCCATATCTGGCCATCACTTGCCACCCTGTGCACAAACGCTCTGTTATTAAGAAAACACCACTGACTCTAATTCGGTCGAAACTAAACAGGGGCCCTGCATTAGTACACGTTCGCCAATGGTCCTACTAAACTGCGTCAACAAGCATCAACAAGCGTCAACAAGCGTCAATGGTCGTCAAAAAGCACATTAAAAGTAGCTTTATTTGGTAGAAGAAGCAATAAAGAACATCTTCTGCATATCAATTAAAGTTAAAATTATTTTAAAACTTGGGGTTTTTTTACGTGAAATGTACGACAAATTTGTCGATAAGTGTTGGCCGCCATTTTGTTTACGTGAAGCTAGCCGCACTACGCATGCGTGAAGTGTACAGAGCCATACTACGCATGCCCGAAGTGTACAGCGCCATCCAAACAAGATGGCGGCCATTCTTATGATTGCGCAAATCACAAGAAAGCGCACAACAGTCATGACAGTAGGACCCATCGCCAATGATAGCCGTTATTTGCTAGCTTGAGTATCTCCAGCTGACATGCTCCATATTCATTCACATGTAACGCTGGAGGCATAACCTGTTCGTTAGAATGTGGTAGCAAGAGACCCTAAAAAAATGGCCTCTCAAAAATTGTTCATTTTCACCTCTAATATCCCACCCTAGAGTTCATTTACATACTCATACATTCAGCAGTCGTTTACGAAGCCTAATGATCGACTTGAAACAGACCACACAAAAAAAATGTGAAAAATCTTGACGATTTTGGTGGCTTGTCGGTGCTTGGTACGGTAGGAGCGGAACGATAATATGCGCATGCGTACAAGTGCAAGTACGTACCCCCACGGCGTGCTCCAAGCGATCGAACCGAAAATGACTGCGATCATTCTGCACGTGTGCACCTTTCAAGTGTCAGGTTGGCTCAGTGCGGAAAGGGCATATTTTTTCATCATTTTTGCCGAAAAACCGACAGAATCCACCGATGTTTGTTTGGTGCACATAACGTGAGTATGTCATGAGGTACTGTACGGAGTTTAGGGGCAAACTGTGCAGCGGTTCTGTGGGAAATAGCTTGGTTGTGATGGACGTTTTTGTACTTAGTTTGTGTTTTGTAGAGGCAAACAGTTTTGCAGGGTAAGCTGCCTATGAGGCTCCACTACGTGGAGCCTCATAGCTCTAGGAGTACCATGTGGGTACCACACCGCTTTCAGGCGCCGCAAGTGAGTTCAATTTTCGTCTGGTGCGTTGTCACGGAAAGCAAGACAACGAGAATGCTCTCCAGGACAACGCACCAGACGAAAATTGAACTCACTTGCGGCGCCTGAAAGTGGTGTGGTACCCACATACATCGCGCGCGCAGATTTGTTTCGATGTCATCACGTGATGCATACATTCACATAATTAGCAAAACAAAATGGACGACAGCCGTTGGAACTGGAGGTTTTTTACGGACAAGCCACCGCAATCGTCAAGATTTTTCACAATTTATTTTGTGATCTGTTTCAAGTCGATCATTAGGCTTCATAAATGACTGCTGAATGTATGAGGTATGTAAATGAAATCTGGGGTGGGATATTAGAGGTGAAAATGAACAATTTTTGAGAGGCCATTTTTTTAGGGTCTCTTGCTACCACATTCTAACGAACAGGTTATGCCTCCAGCGTTACATGTGAATAAATATGGAGCATGTTAGCTGGAGTTACTCTAGACCCGTGAACGTGGCTATATACATAGCCACGCTTCAGTCTATAGTAAAAACACTCTATTGTGATCAGGGCTCGATTTACCCGGGTGCACGCATGCACCAGTGCATGTAGATTTTTGCTTGTGCACGTAGCTTTTTACTGAGCATGCACAACGTGCATGTAACTTTTTTAGCCGCCAAAATACTCATTTCATGCATATATTTACTGTTTACAAATGAGTGAGAATAAGAATAAAGTTTGTTGAATACTTGACCAGATAGTGTACAAACGTGTTATTTCTTTTATATATCCATAAATTATTCCTCGCGGCAGATTCAGAGTACGCGGTAGAATTTGGGAAGATCGTCCTGCAACCGCCTCCGATCATGCACGTGATTTACCACGTGATACATGCCGCTGATAACTTGGTATCGCACTGACGCTCCGCGCATTCATATGTCCCGATCATAAGTGTGATTCCAAATTATTAGCTGCGTTTATCACGTGGTCTCGTTATTGGCCAATCGGACGCCGCCTATCATATGTCCCACATGAAGCAGACGGGTATAGCTCGGAGGACTCTGATAATTTTGCACGCAAATGACCCTGGGAACTTGTGTCACTTGTCAGGTTGAAATCCAATTTCTACGTTCATATGGGTTTTCATCGACGGCAAATTTCGTCGAAATGACACATCCTGAACACACGGGAAGGCAAATTTAGCTTTCTATGTGAGTACTCAACATATGTACAAAATTATGTATGGCGGATCAATTTCGCAATGTTCGAAATGCCACAACAGCGTGGCGTTGTGTACAACGCCACGTTCACGGGTCTAGGCTTGCCTTGAGCGCGATCGAGTAAAAAAGGCTATTTACTGTACTGTCTGTAGAAAGTTTGATAAATCAAAGAGAAAGAATGCCTTCAGAGAAGCAGACGGGTGTAAGTCAATTATGGTGCATGTGGGTTTTTCTTGGTGCATGTACAATGTAGGTTTTTTGGTCTACATGCACCAGTGCATGCAACTTTTTTTTTGTAAATCGAGCCCTGATTGTGATCAGCGGTTACTAAATTTAAGTGACCGTTCTAGCCGAATTTCGGCTACATTTGACAGAATATTTGCATACAAAAATTAGTTGTACAGAAAATCAGCAGAATATTTTTTTCGGCAGAATTATGAAGAAAATTATGAAGAGAATTACGAAGGAAAATGAAAAAGATTGGAAAGAAATATGGCACATTTGGTTGAAAAACTTTCATTTTTTGAAAGATCCTTAAAACAAACCCTTGCACAATGGAACAGCAATATAAACTGGGTGATTTGGCAGACTTTCAAAGTGGATTTAGCAGAATTTTACATGGTATTACGGTTAATCTGCCATGTAAGACGGTTAGTCAGGTACCCGCTGGTGATACTTCTTCCGTTTTGCGCATGTGGAACTCGGGATACCAGAGTGTCATGCCTGTCTTTGATTTTCTGATCATTTTGAAAACATTCGTTGTGACAAAGTTGTGCCGTACTTTACATCAAATTTCTTGGCAATGCCAGATACAACACTCGCGGAAATTCACAGGAGGCCCAACAAGTAAGTGATTCACCTATGGGCAAAATTATACATGGTTATATGTAGCGGATCAAAAGATAGAATGCTGTTGCTTGTATTTACCTAGCCCCATGAATGTGGCCAATTTACTGGACTACCTCCGTAAACATAGGCCACACATCCACATGTACAAAAACGTGTTGCACATTGTCAAATTTTGATTTTCACATTTAGGCTTAGTTTGTAGGGTTTTTTTGCTTTAGAAGCATACTCACCCTCTTTTTAGGCTTATCAGAAAGTGCTGCCTTTTTCAGATGTCTATTTGTCGTGAAATTTCCAGATTCATTTGCACACGTTTACGTATCAAAATTTCAACATGAAATTTCACAAAAATTAGACGTCTGAAAAAGGCAGCACTTTCTGATTAGCCTATAAAGAGGGTGAGTATGCTTCTAAAGCAAAAAAACCTACAAACTAAGCCTAAATGTGAAAATCAAAATTTGACAAAGTGCGACATGTTTTTGTACATGTGGATGTGTAGGCCCATAAATGTGGCCTATTTAATACTGGACTGCCTCCGTAAACATAGGCCACACATCCACATGTACAAAAACGTGTCGCACGATGTGTGGCCTATGTTTACGGAGGCAGTCCAGTAAATAGGCCACATTATGGGGCTAGTGGATGTGTGGCCTATGTTTGCGGAGGTACTGTAGTCCAGTAAATTGTGGCCACATTTATCATGTTTATGGGGCTACTACTAGTGGAAACCCAACGGAAGCGCGTGGCGTTGTATACAACGCCACGTTCACGGGTCGAGTCTAGAGTTACTCTAGCCCCATAAATGTGGCCTATTTACTGGACTACCTCCGTAAACATAGGCCACACATCCACAATGTACAAAAACGTGTCGCACTTTGCCAAATTTTGATTTTCACATTTAGGCTTAGTTTGTACTTTTTATTGTAGGTTTTTTTTTGCTTTAGAAGCATACTCACCCTCTTTATTAGCCCCATAAATGTGGCCTATTTACTGGACAGTAAATAGGCCACATTTATGGGGCTACCTCTTTATGGGCTAATCAGAAAGTGCTGCCTTTTTCACTTCAGATGTCTATTTTTCGTGAAATTTCCAGATTCATTTGCACACGTTTGCTATCAAAATTTCAACATGAAATTTCACAAAAATTAGACATCTGAAAAAGGCAGCACATTCTGATTAGCCTATAAAGAGGGCGAGTATGCTTCTAAAGCAAAAAAACCTACAAAGTAAGCCTAAATGTGAAAATCAAAATTTGGCAAAGTCGACACGTTTTTGTACATGTGGATGTGTGGCCTATGTTTACGGAGGCAGTCCAGTAAATAGGCCACATTACTCAAGCTAGTAGTATTAATACTTGCAATGACGTCGAATTTGTGGAAGAATCTTACTTGTAACGACAGTGACAGTCGCGCAGAATAAGCCATGACGATATCTGCTGAAGAAACAGGCCTACTTGCTGAAGAAACAATATGAAGGACGACTTAAATACAACTTAGGCCCAGGCTAAAATGGGGACAGAACCCGCGAACAGTTCGCCCTGTTTCAAATTTAATCGTCGATCCAAGACGGCTCGATCAAGGATTGCAGGTCAAGTCGCCCCCTGGCCGACTCGCCTCTTACCGACTCGCCCCTTACCGACTCGCCCCCTGACCGACTCGCCCCCGACCGACTCGCCCCTTACAAGCTCGCCCCCTGCCTGACTCCCCCCTAGCAGACTCGCCCCCTGACCGACTCGCCTCCTGACCGACTCGCCCCCTGGAAAATTATGCACCGTACGGGGACATCGTGAAATAAAAATAAAGACAGTGTCGGGGAACACGTTTCCCGGTCGCAACGTGGCCAACGTGAAACTTAATGAAGCCAAATTATTCAAACGCCAGTATGAAGGATTAACCCGCGTTCATCGTTTGTCAATGACATTAAATCTCGACTCTGGGTCCTCAGTTTCATTAAAAAATATTTTCAGAATGAATGATATATATTTGAAAAATCAAATCGTCCTGCTGCATTAAACAAGAATAACATATTAAGTAAATGCAAACTTTTAGAAAACCTTTTTCTTTGCGAAAAGAAAACTTTTTATGCACGTCCAAATAAAACTCTTTGAGGTGACTAAGCGAATGGAGTTAACGAATTTAGGGAGTTGATCCAGATATCGGATTTTCCCCGCGCGTTATGTGGAGGGCGAGGCATTTTTGTTTGAATTGTTGTTATTTACCTTGGGCCAGCCTTAAAGCTATCCATCATTTGCAGCTATCCAAAAAGTAACTGACGTAATAATTGTTGAAAAAACAGGTTGAAGGATAATAAGGGGACTAAACTCCCTGTGAAATTATTCTCCTCCCTTGAAATGCAAAACTGCCCCTCAAAAAGATGCCCCGCTCGCATTAAGAAGATTGTTTGACCTTTGCGACCGGGCAAACGGTGTTCCCCGACACTGTCTTTAATTTTTTTTTTCACGATGTCCCCGTACGGTGCATAATTTTCCAGGGGGCGAGTCGGCTAGGGGGCGAGTCAGGCAGGGGGCGAGCTTGTAATGGGCGAGTCGGTCAGGGGGCGAGTCGGTAAGGGGCGAGTCGGTAAGGGGCGAGTCGGCCAAGGGGCGAGTCGGCCAGGGGGCGAGTTGACCTGACACCGGCTCAAGGTAGCCACGGATTCGGCCGGATTTCTGGCCGCGTATTCTAGCCGCGCATTCGGCAAAAGTCAAAAAATCTATAATACATGCGGCAAAAGGTGATCTGTTTTCCAGAAAGATAACTTCCTTTATTCAACGAACTTTTCAAAATGAACAACAAATAACAATATTTTTCCACGCCGTATCAAAATACACAACATAAGCAACCATTTCATTAACCATTTCTGAAATTTTGATCCAATAATTACCATTAAATTAGCTGCATAATGAGAATCATCACATTTCGCGTAAGTTTTCAACGCTTTTACTTTAAGAGATGTTGGAAAGTAAATGTATCATTTGAAACAAAGTGTACCTCACATGTTGTCAAAAACTCATAATTGTATTGCATAATCTACGAGATCATGTGACTGGTCACACTTAATGTTGGTGGTGGCTTCAGCCAAACACTTATTAGTGCCTAATTAGCCCGTTAAAGCGATCCCATTTTCCCGGTTCTATCAAATTTCATTCTTTTCAACTGCGTATATCACTGCTCCTTTAAAACAAAGTGTACCTCACATGTTGTCAAAACTCATAATTTTATTTCATAATCTACGAGATCGTATCACTGGGCACACTTAATTTTGGTATTGGCTTCATGCAAGCACTAATTTGTGCCTAATTAGCCCCTTAAAGTGACGCCATTTTCCCTCCACTATTAGAATGCGTTCGTTTCTGCTGCGTATATCACTGCCTCTTTAAAACAAAGTGTACCGCACATGTTGTCAAAAACTCACAACTTTATTTTATAATCTATGAGATACTCCTACTGTCCACACTTAGTTTTGGTATTGACTTCAGCCAAACACTAATTAGTGCCTAATTAGCCGGTTAAAGTGACCGCATTTTCCTTGCACTATTAGAATGCGTTCTTTTCAACTGCGTAAATCACTACCCCTTTAAAACAAAGTGTACCGCACATGTTGTCAAAAACTCACAATTTTATTTCATAATCTACGAGATAGTATCACTGGGCACACTTAATTTTGGTATTGGCTTCAGCCGAACACTAATTAGTGCCAAATTAGCCCGTTAAAATGATCCCATTTTCCTGCACTATTAGAATGCGCGCGATGCGTTAGTTTCTGCTGCGTATTATCACTGCCCCTTTAAAACAAAGTTTAATAGTGCAAGGAAAATGATGTCACTTTAAGGAGCTATTTAGGAACTAATTAGTGTTGGGCTGAAGCCAATACCAAAATTAAGTGTGCCCAGTGGTATGATCTCGTAGATTATGAAATAAAATTATGAGTTTTTTGACAACATGTAAGGTACACCTTGTTTTAAAGGAGCATTCATAAATACCTCAGACAGTTTAGCTATTCCTATTGGTCGAGAGCCCGTCACGTGGCCGGTCTTAAACGGATGATAAAGACATGGCTAGCTGGTCTTAAACACTTTTCCAGTGTCACAATAAAATGTGGACTCCTAAAAATCCAGTGCCTCTTACCGTTTCATTGGTTGAACGTTCACAATCCTCACGTAGGCATGCGCAACACTACAAGCGAGTCAGAATTTTATCTATACTACAATTCAAGGAATCTCTGTCTGTCTGTCTGTCCGTCTGTCTGTCTGTCTGTCTGTCCGCCGATTATCTCCAGAGCCGGGCACCGTATGAAGTTGAAAATCGGCGGGTGTATTGCTCGGGGCAACAGAATGTGCAGTGCCAAGTTTGAAGTGGTTTGGATGAGCGGTTTCCGAAAAAGCTGCAAAACAGCAGTATTTTCGGAGGCAAACGCGGCAGCTTAGAACATAACACTACGCACTGCCGTTCTTTTCAATTGTTTACGTCATGTTTGAGCAAAAGCGCGCGTGCTCAATGTGACGCAAACAATGCAAAAAAGACACGGGCACGCGCCATAACTCTATTGCACGCGCACGGGCATTGTAGGGTGATACTATTGTCCAGTATGGGTGAATATATAGCATTGCGTACCATGTTACCGTTTGTACACCTACGTGGTGGCTGCACGGGCACATTATTTTTGCAGTCGACTGAGCGACCTTACTGCAGGACGATACCATTGTCCAGTAGGGGAGAGTAATATCTGCGCTATTTTTGGAGCCTTTTATTAAGAAACACTCGCCCAAACAATTTCAAACTTGGCACAAACCTTGACGTGAGTGTGCGTTCAACCTGTGAAAACACACAATTGCATCGCGTGCGTTGTTTGCACGAGCAGTTCTCAAAAACTCTGCAAGCATGCAACCAATACCTGCGGCAAAGCAATTTGCGCTTCCCAAACAAGCACATTTTAGACGGCACAGCACGGTTGTACGCGTACGAGGACGTGAGAGGCTGCACGGGTATACGCATTTTGTCGTCGACTGAGCAACAATTACTGTAAGCGACTGACTGAGCAACCTTTACTGTAGGACGGTACCATAGTCCAGTATGGGTAAATATCAGTGCCAGGGGATGGCGACGTGTACAAAGTGCGCGTTTAACAGTTCTCAACTGCCCCTTCCGAACACGCACATTTTCGACTGGCCCTGCACTAGTCTATACTACAATTCAAGGAATCTCTGTCTGTCTGTCCGTCTGTCTGTCTGTCTGTCTGTCTGTCCGCCGATTATCTCAAGAACCGGGCACCGTATGGAGTTGAAAATCGGCGGGCGTATTGCTCGGGACAGCAGAATGTGCAGTGCCAAGTTTGAAGTGGTTTGGACCAGCGGTTGTCGAAAAAGCTGTAAAAAAGCAGTATTTTCTGAGGCAAACGCGCCAGAATATAGCCTAGAACTCCGCGCACTGATGTTCTTTTCAATTGTTTACGTCATGTTTGAGCAAGAGCGCGCGTGCTTAATATGGAAAAAGGACGGGCACATTGTAGGGCGATAGCACTGCACACCATGACTTCGTACGTGAGTGGCATGCACGGGCACGGGCACATGCATTTTGTAGTCAACTGAGCAACCATCACTGCACTGTATGTAGGCGGTCGATACCATTGTACAGTATGGGTGAATAGCACTGCATACCATAATTATGTTTCCGTACGTGATGACTGCACGGGCACATGCATTTTGCAGTCGATTGAACCACTTTTGTAGGCGGTGGATTGAGCAACCTTACTCACGTAGGTGAGTAGCTGCACGGGCGTATGGGTGAATATCAGTGCCGGGGATAGCCTGGCGACATGTACAAAGTGCGCTCAACCTATGAGTGTGAGTTTAACCTGTGAAAACAACACAATTGAATCGTGTGCGTTGTTTGCATGATATGAGCATTTTGAAATTGCCCCTAACGAACAGGTGAATTTTTTGACGGGCCCTGCAAAAATGACGGGCACATTGTAGGGCGATAGCACTGCACACCATGTCTTCGTACGTACATATACATGAGTGGCATGCACGGGCACATGCATTTTGTACTCAACTGAGCAACCATCACTACACTGTATGTATAGGCGGTCGACTGAGCAACTCTAATACAATATTGTATCGCCCTACAACTACGCCCTACAGTTGTAGGGCGATACCATATTGTCCAGTAGGGGTAAATATCAGTGCCAGGGGGGAGGCGACATTTTGTGAGTTTAACTTGCGAGTGTGCGTTCACACCATTGAATAATGTGCGTTGTTTGCACGAGCTGCAGTTCTCAACTGCCCCTTCCGAACACGCACATTTTCGACTGGCCCTGCACTAGTCTTATTATAATTCCAGGAATCTCTGTCTGTCTGTCTGTCCGTCGATTATCTCCAGAACCGGGCACCGTATGAAGTTGAAAATCGGCGGGTATATTTTTCGGGACAACAGAATGTGCAGTGCAAAGTTTGAAGTTGTTTGGACCAGCGGTTCTCGAAAATGCTGCAAACAGCAGTATTTTCTGAGGCAAACGTGGCAGTATATAGCTTAGAACATAACACCCGCACGCACTGCCGTTCTTTTCAATTGTTTACGTCATGTTTAAGCTAAAGCGCGCGTGCTCAATATGACGCAAACAATGCAAAAAGGACGGGCACGCGCACGTGCACTGTAGGGCGATACACTGTCCAGTATGGGTGAATACTAATGGATCAATGGGTGAATAGCACTGCATACCATGTTTTCGTATGTACACGGGCACATTATTTTTGCAGTCGACTGAGCGACCATTGTAGGTGGTCGAACTTCAAACTTGGCAAAAATTTGGACGTAAGTGTGCGTTCAACCTGTGAAAACAACACCATTGAATCGCGTGCGTTGTTTGCACGAGCAGTTCTCCAAAACTCTGCAAGTATGCAACCTATACCAGCGGCAAAGCAATTTGCGTTTCCCGAACATGCACATTTTAGACGGGCACTGCACTAGTCTTACTATAATTCCAGGAATCTCTGTCTGTCTGTCTGTCCGTCGATTATCTCCAGAACCGGGCACCGCATGAAGTTGAAAATCAGCGGGTATATTTTTCGGGACAACAGAATGTGCAGTGCAAAGTTTGAAGTTGTTTGGACCAGCGGTTCTCGAAAAAGCTGCAAAAAGCAGTATTTTCTGAGGCAAACGTGGCAGTATATAGCTTAGAACATAACACCCGCACACACTGCCATTCTTTTCAATTGTTTACGTCATGTTTAAGCTAAAGCGCGCGTGCTCAATATGACGCAAACAATGCAAAAAGGACGGGCACGCGCATGTGCATGCCATGTTTTCGTATGTACACGGGCACATTATTTTTGCAGTCGACTGAGCGACCATTGTAGGTGGTCGAACTTCAAACTTGGCAAACATTTTGAAGTAAGTGTGCGTTCAACCTGTGAAAATAACACCATTGAATCGCGTGCGTTGTTTGCACGAGCAGTTCTCCAAAACTCTGCAAGTATGCAACCTATATCAGCGGCAAAGCAATTTGCGTTTCCCGAACATGCACATTTTAGACGGGCACTGCACTAGTAGTTCTAAATTCAAAACGCAACGCCCCAGGTGCGTTCTGCGTGACATCGCGCAGAACATGTTACGCGCGCGTCAATCTCCATAAAAGGGTTGTTTACATCTTACTCGCCAGCAGAACACTCCATTATTTTGCTAGAGGGATGTTTCAAAAAGCATGAAGTGAACTTGTTGAACAAAATCGGGATTTTTTTAACGAATTATTTGATATTTCGTTACGGATAAGGTATTTATGAATGGGAATAAATATGTGCTCGGTCGGTATTTATCACTCTGCATTCTGATAGTGCCGGGAAAATGGGGTCACTTTAAGGGGCTAATTAGGCACTAATTAGTGCTTGGATTAAGCCAATACCATAATTAAATTTCCCTAGTAGTGTGATCTCGTAGATTATGAAAAAAATGTATGAGTTTTTGACAACATGTGAGGTACACTTTGTTTTAAAGGAGCAGTGATATACGCAGTTGAAAAAAAAAAGCATTCTGATAGTGCCGGGAAAATGGGGTCGGTTTAAGGGGCTAATTAGAAACGAATTAGAGCTCGGATGAAGCCAATACCAAAATTAAGTGTGCCCAGTGATATGATCTCGTAGATTATGAAATAAATTATGAGTTTTTGACAACGTCTGAGGTACAATTTGTTTTAAAGGAGCAGTGACATACGCAATTAAAAAGAATGCATTCTGATAGTGCCGGGGAAATGGGGTCAATTTAAGGGGCTAATTAGGCACCAATTAGTGCTTGCATGAAGCCAATACCAAAATTAAGTGTGTCCAGTGAAATGATCTCCTAGATTATGAAATGAAACTGCAAGTTTTTGGCAACATGTGAGGTACACTTTGTTTTAAAGGAGCAGTGATATACGCAGTTGAAAAGAACGCATTACAATAGTGTAGTAAAACGAACGCATTAAAATAGTGTGGTAAAAATGGCGTCACTTTAACGGGCTAAGTAGGCACTAATTAGTTTTTGGCTCGAGCCAATACCAAAATGAAGTATGCCCAGTCACATGATCTCGTAGAGTATGCAATACAATTATATGTTTTGACAACATGTGAGGTACACTTTGTTTTAAAGGAGCAGTGATATATGCAGTTGAAAAGAATGCAGTCTGATAGTGCCGGGAAAATGGGGTCATGTTAAGGGGCTAATTACCCACTAATTAGTGCTCGGATGAAGCCAATACCAAAACCAAGTGTGTCCAGTTACTTTGAGGGGCTAATTAGGCACCAATTAGTGCTCGCATGAAGCCAATACCAAAATTAAGTGTGCCCAGAAATAATGATCTCGTAGAATATGAAATGATAAAACTGCAAGTTTTTGGAAACATGTGAGGTACACTTTGTTTTAAAGAGGTAGTGATATACGCAGCAGAAACGAACGCATTACAATAGTGTAGTAAAACGAACGCATTACAATAGTGTGGTAAAAATGGCGTCACTTTAACGGGCTAAGTAGGCACTAATTAGTTTTTGGCTCGAGCCAATACCAAAATGAAGTGTGCCCAGTCACATGATCTCGTAGAGTATGCAATACAATTATATGTTTTGACAACATGTGAGGTACACTTTGTTTTAAAGGAGCAGTGATATATGCAGTTGAAAAGAATGCAGTCTGATAGTGCCGGGAAAATGGGGTCATTTTAAGGGGCTAATTACCCACTAATTAGTGCTCGGATGAAGCCAATACCAAAACCAAGTGTGTCCAGTGATATGATCTCGTAGATCATGAAATAAAACTACAAGTTTTTGACAACTTGTGAGGTACACTTTGTTTTAAAGAAGCAGTGATATACGCAGTTGAAAAGAACGTATTACAATAGTGCAGTAAAAATGGCGTCACTTTAACGGGCTAATTAGGCACTAATTAGTTTTCGGCTCGAGCCAATACCAAAATCATGTGTGGCCAGTCACATGATCTCGTAGATTATGCAATAAAATTATGAGTTTTTGACAATATTTGAGGTACACTTTGTTTCAAATGATGCATTTACTTTTCAACATCTCTAAAAGCGTCGATAAATAACGTTAAATGTGATGATTCCCATTAAGCAGCTAATTTTATTATAAGTAATTATTGCATCAACATTTCAAAAATCGTCGATGAAATGGTTGCTTATAGTATGAGTTTTGATACAGAAAATATTGATATTTGTCGTTAATTTTGAAAAATTGAGGAAAGTCGTTGAATAAAATAAATTGTCTATCTGGCAAATAGAACACCTTTTGCAGCATGTAGTATAGATTTTTTACTTTTGGTGAATGCGCGGCCGAATTTCGCTCGTACCCCCCCCCCCCCCCCCCCCCCCCGCCCTGCATATATCATACAGGACGCTGGGCTACTCTGACGAGCTTCACAGAATCTTGTGAAGGAAATGGTCTATGACCTATGTATAAAGCATCTTGCTGCAGCTGTTCAAAACAATGTGCGCAAATGCTATCCGAAAACTTCCAATAGAATTGCGCATATTCCATACCGGATGTGATTTCTGTTTCATTGCGGACCATGTGGACAAACTTTTCAGCGTCGCATAATGCAATCCGACCGTTCGTGATTCTAAACGGAGTCTGAGCGAGTGACGGGAATGTAAATTTACAACACAGATAAGTTTTACAGAATTTCCTACATTATTACGCTTTTTAACGAGAAAAAACACCAATTTTTTTGTGGGGGGCCAAAAAAAAAATTGTTTCTCCCAAAAAGTGGGTCAAAAAATTACGGCGTGGGGTTCAGGGCCCGCTTTAAGGGCCCCGAAAATGTTTTGGATTCTCGATGCTCTGTGGTACGTGGTGCGATCTGAGGCAATTTCTGACCACTTTAGCCATTTTTTTTTTGAGGAAAAGATGGTGGTGTACTCATTGCCTGCCTTTATTGCGACGTCACATAAAAAAAAAAAAATTGGTTTCGGGTTTTTTTTTTGGGGGGGGGGATGGCCCCCCTGCCCCCCTGCCCCCCCCTGGATCCGCCCTCCCCCCCCCCCCCCAACCATTCCAGTTAGGGTACGAGCAACCTCGTCCCCAGTGCTCACTTTATTTCCAACCTTGTTTCCAATAGTAAACCCTGGATAGCAAACTTTCTTCCTGTATCCTGATTCGATACCGCAATTGGCTAGTAATGGATTTTATCGTGTACTTGGTGCTATATTCGCAACGTACAGTACGTGTTTTCGCGATCATTCGTCCACTCGCCTTCTCGAAAATACTAATTTCCTTTCCAATTTGCTCATATTAATATGAAATATGATACTGCATGTTGTCTCGATATAAGATCGTAACAGTTTAATTTTAAAAATCGTGTTTTCGTAACTCACGCCATGCTCGCGCTGCGACGAATTGACTCTGTTTTTACCCCAGACACCTCATACAAAAACAAACGCCAATGTAACGCATATCCAGGCACCAGACTGTTGCTCATTTGCATACGTGTTCAAAAATCTTGCACATGCAAATGAAAGCAGGTAGTGATGGGCGCGTACTGTTCGACACCCTGGGGACGAGGTAGGGGTACGAGCGAATCCCAAGGACTAGCTTACCATTGGACACGAGGTTGAAAAGAAAGTAAACCCTGGGGTCGAGGCTGGAATGATTATTTAATTAGAACCAACAGAGGGCGGGCTTGCGCATTCACCCGATAAGTCGGGTACCCTACTCCATTGGATTTAAAAACACCTTAAACAAAGCGATGAATGCAATTTATTAATCGTCAAGATACCATGGTTTTTTTTTTATCGCGTGGTGTACAACATTCCGGTTCTGCAGCTAGCGGCGCGGGGTATCTCAATTATATTACGGGTACGCGCGTTTTATCCATATCTTCACGAACACGCATAATTGCTTTATTGCTTGTACTACTAGTACTACGGTTTCGTAGCCAGAAGAGTTATTTCCTATAATTTTCCCGGCCCAAACACAGTCCGTTCAAAGTCAACATGACGGAGAAAATAGACATGAGCCTGGAGGACATCATAAAGATGAACAAGACGAACAAAAGAGGAGGAGGGCGAGGACGTGGCGGACGTGGACGCGGCGCCGGTGGACAAACGCGTGGCGGTGCCGTTGGTGGACGGACCAGAGGCGGCAGTGGGGCTGGAGTTGGTGGAGCAATCCGACGACAGAACAGGGGTGGTGCCCGCCCTACTCCTTACTCACGGGTAGGAAATTTTTGTTGATGTTAAGCACCGTCGATATTAATTATTAGACCCGTGAACGTCAACGTGGCGTTGTATACAATGCCACGCTGTTGTGTATTTTCGAACCTAGCGAAATCGATCCGCCATTTCGTATGGATGTTGAGTACTCACCTAGACGGTCCTAACTAAAGCGCGTCAACAAGCGTCAACAAGTTTTAATGGTTGTTAATGAGCGTCAACAAATTTTGTATAGGCTTTTGAACAATAAAAACAGCTTTATATGGTAGAAAAAGCAATAATGAACATCTTCTGCATATCAATTTAAGTTAAAATTACTTAAAAAGTAGCTGGAGTTACCCAGCCCTGAGTTTTATCATTGGGTTGTCTATAAGGGCTGGAGCGAATTTTTCTCGTAACTTGTAGTATTTGCAAAAAATTTTGGAAAATGTTCAATTTTGTCCCCGTTACACACTAATTGCAACTGCAACTCACCCCAAACTTGCCTGGAATAACCATTACACAGGTCCTTGAAGTAAAAAACGATCCACGATGAAGATTCAGCCTACAATTGCAGTGAAAACAGGAGGAATAACCGCTAACTTGACAACCTTGCTGGATTGGCCAGGACCGCAATTGGTTTGTGCACAAAAAAAATTGTGTACAATGAATGGCGGTCGATTAACAGGCACAGAGAGAGCGATCGCTGTCAACTACTCGTTTTTGCCGGCTGCGTTGGCTGTTGGCGCATGACGTTACGCGGAAGCGTAACACCCGATGACTGTTTCATGCACTAATATGAGGTTTACCACTCGCATCACAGCTTTGGTACTGGAACCGCAACCAATAGTGCATGAAACAGTCATCGGGTGTTACGCTTCCGCATGACGTCATGCGCCAACAGCCAGCGCAGCCGGCAAAACGAGTAGTTGACAGCGATCGCTCTCTCTGTGCCTGTTAATCGACCGCCATTCATTGTACACAATTTTTTTTGTGCACAAACCAATTGCGGTCCTGGCCAATCCAGCAAGGTTGTCAAGTTAGCGGTTATTCCTCCTGTTTTCACTGCAATTGTAGGCTGAATCTTCATCGTGGATCGTTTTTTACTTCAAGCCTTACCTGTGTAATGGTTATTCCAGGCAAGTTTGGGGTGAGTTGCAGTTGCAATTAGTGTGTAACGGGGACAAAATTGAACATTTTCCAAATTTTTTTGCAAATACTACAAGTTACGAGAAAAATTCGCTCCAGCCCTAGATGACAACCCAATGATAAAACTCAGGGCTGGGTAACTCCAGCTACTTAAAAAGTGGTTTTCCAGTGCGAAATCTACGACGGGTTTTTCGGTTAGGGGCCGCCATCTTGTTTGAGATCTACATACTACGCATGCGTGGAGTGTACCATTCACGCATAGGGGTTTCTTTATACGATACGCTTTGCGATACCTCGTTTGGTTTTTGCATTGGGATTTTTTGGCAGACATTGTGAACAGTGTCAGTCGGCATATTTTTCAAATAATTAGCCAAGTACCGTGACCAAGTTTTGCATAATTTTTAATTGGAAAAAAAAATAGTTTTCCTAATTTCTAGAATTGAATTTGTGCAAAACACCAAACGAGGTATCGCAAAGCGTATCGTATAAAGGAATGTTGGACAACTCGTACCCGAGACAACTCGTACCCGAGACAACTCGTACCCGAGACAACTCGTACCCGGGACAATTCGTACCCGGGACAACTCGTACCCGGGACAACTCGTACCCGGGACAACTCGTACCCGAGACAACTCGTACCCATCTGAAAATAAAACACTGTGCAGCGTACTCGTATCTGTGCCTTACTTGTGCCGACTGTTATCATACTTATTTTCAAACAATTATTATTCAATTATTTTATTTCCGTTTTTCATTTTTAAATAGAGAAGAAGTTTTTCATTTAAATAGGTCTCTCTGTTGTTGGCCTGAAGATTTTTTTTTTTTTTAATACTGTTTTATTTTCATTCCGTTTCAGAAACTCTGATGCAATCTCTTTTTGGGAATTATGCAAAAGACTGACACGCTACTGGGATTGTCGATGGTTATCAAAATTAATGTCATAAAAAGTGTAGAAGGGGACATATGTAACATTTTTATAATTTTAATGAATCGGTCCACTTATTTTAGAAATAAGTTTTCACAATAAATTAGCTGGAGTTACCCAGCCCTGAGTTTTATCATTGGGTTGTCTATTAGGGCTGGAGCGAATTTTTCTCGTAACTTGTAGTATAGGCAAAATTTTTTGGAAAATGTTCAATTTTGTCCCCGTTACACACTCATTGCAACTGCAACTCACCCCAAACTTGCCTGGAATAACCATTACACAGTTCCTTGAAGTAAAAAACGATCCACGATGAAGATTCAGCCTACAAAAGCAGTGAAAACAGGAGGAATAACCGCTAACTTGACAACCTTGCTGGATTGGCCAGGACCGCAATTGGTTTGTGCACAAAAAAAATTGTGTACAATGAATGGCGGTCGATTAACAGGCACAGAGAGCGATCGCTGTCAACTACTCGTTTTTGCCGGCTGCGCTGGCTGTTGGCGCATGACGTCACGCGGAAGCGTAACACCCGATGACTGTTTCATGCACTATTGACACTAATCTCTATGCACTAATCTCTCCAGAACAATCTCTTGCTTGTCACCACTGGCAATTCCCCAAAACTCAACGGCTTTTGGTTGTCCACATCTTCGGATTTGTCATTTACATCTAACTAAAAAGGAACAGAAAAGTAAATGGTAAGAAAAGTACAAGGTACGAGTTGTCCCGGGTACGAGTTGTCCCGGGTACGAGTCGCCCCGGGTACGAGTTGTCCCGGGTCACAAATTTGGGGTACGAGTCGTCCCGGGTACGAGTTGTCCCGGGTACGAGTTGTCCCGATACCGTATAAAGAAACCCCGATACGTGAAAGGTTGCCAAAAAGTCTCACGGGGGGTCAAAAATGAAACTTGTTGTATGGATACAACATGTTTATTTGTTGAAAGTACATACATAAAGGTACTAGAAAATGTTAAAGTTAAGGCTTAAACATGTTTTCATTTCAATTTTAAGGCACTTTACACTTTGCAGACCATAAAATTTGTCAAATAAAGGTAGGTATCATAAGCTGCTAATTCCACATCTCAAACATGCTTAGAGTTGCTTTAAAATGATTGATAGTCATCACAGTAGTCATGTCTTGAATATTAAAGCACTCTAGGCTATGAAAAATGCCATGTTTTTTCATATACTGACGGAAAATTCAATTTTATAGCTCTCTTTTACTTGAAACACAAACTTTCATTTCTGATTTACAGAAAACCATGCAGCCTGCTGATTATTTGCACTTTTGTCCAAAGGCTGTGTACATGGTAGAACAATTGGCAAAAAAATTGTGTTTATAGTGTGCTGCGTTACAGAGTAGCCATGGTCTTTATCATTGCTATGAAAAGGGTTTACTATGTTCAGGAAAGGACAAAAATTTTAACAATTACTACATTCAGTCAAGTTTGATCTTATGAAGCAACATTGCCAAGTACTCTGTTAAACTATATGTTCAGGAGAGGACAATGCAGTTTAACGACAATGTCATGACAACAAGCAAGGTTCGAGTCTGATTCTTTATGTAGTCTGTTAAATCTAGTAAGTACACCCCTAGGTACATGTTTATGTCAAAAAAGTTTTATCTCTGACTTCCTTTAAAAAAAGGGGGGCCATGTTCAGGAAAGGACATTTTTAACAAACATTTCCATGGCATATATAGCCTATATATGCGACTGCTGCTGTATCAAACTTACTTGTGATTATCCAATTCCCATCTTTTTATACTTGATTACTGGAGTGTGTAGCATCATTTTGACAGACAATAAGTTGTGTATTCTTTCTTTAATTCTGGAAAAAAATACCATGTTCAGGAAAGGACATTTTGAAAAAACGTTTAACAAACACATCAATGTCTCACTCAAAACGGCATTACAAAAGAACGAGTTGGTCAATCCTAATGAAATCTGGTGTACATATTTTTGGGACATACTTCAATGTCCTTGCAAGTCTGGGTGGTTCCCATGGCATTTATTTTTAATTCTCATCAATTGCAGTCTCTAGAAAATGTGAATGAGACTCCAAATCTTGTCTTTTAGCACCCATGTGAGCTTATAATTTGAAAACCATAATGCGTAGAGCTGCAATTTTTTTTCTGGAGACTGCTACAACATGACGGTCCTTGTGAGACAAAAACCAGCAAATTCCAACCAAGTCTTCCTATGAATTAAAGCATCGATTTCCTATTTTTCATTTTGCAACCTTTCCCGTGAAACTGCCCCAAGTGACCCTGACAAATGACCCTGGATGAGTACCCAGGGTTATTTGCGTGCAAAATTATCGGAGCCCTCCGAGCTACCCGTCTGCTTCTTGTGGCGCATATGATAGGCGGTGTCTGATTGGCCAATAACGAGACCACGTGATAAACGCAGCTAATAATTTGGAATCGCACTTATGATCCGGACATCAGGAGTGCCCGGAGCGTCAGTGCGATACCAAATTATCTGCAGCATTTATCACGTGGTAAATCACATGCATCAGGATGAGGTTGCAGGACGTCGAGATCTTGCCAGATTTTACCTCGACTATCATTTAAATGCCAGATTTGGCGTAAAAGCAGTTTTTAACAGAAAGCTTGATATGTGAATACTTATCAAACGGTAAGGCAATGTTCAGTCTTTGTCACGGAAGGACGATTTTGCTTGGTTCGAACATGTACAAGAGCGTGGCGTAGTTTACAAGCCACGTTCACGGGTCTACGTCGATATAAGAATCTTCAATATTAATATATCCGAAATCCAATATCGAGTAGGACCTATCCCATGATAGGCTACCCCTAGCCCCATAAATATGGCCAATTTACTGGACTACCTCCGTTAATAAAGGCCACACTTCCACCCTGTACAAAAACATGTCGAACTTTGTCAAATTTTGATTTTCACATTTAGGCTTAGTTTATTTTTGCTTAAGA